AGGTGATTTTTCCCTCAAACACCTGAACATTACTGAGGAGTAGCACTAGCTTTAGGTTGGAGAGTCAGCGCAGCATGAAGAACATTCTGCCCAGGGGATGTTCAGGCCTCCAAGTTGTCTCTAAGTTCTCCTCTCTTAGAGTCTGAGGTAACAAAAGAAAACCTTATTAAATTGGTCAACGTCTTTCAATTATTTCTTTATGTGTATGTTTCCCTGTCTCTTTCTCTCCTGTTTCCTGAAATCTTCCATTATCGATGGCCTTAATCCTATGAAACAGCATTTAATGTCTGTCAACTTTGACCTGAAATCTCCCTTTCTGATTCTGCCTCCCCTTTTCTTTATAGTAACAACTTTCTGAGGCCAGAGACTATGCTCATTGCCTCCGTGTTGATCTGCCTCTACTATCTTATCAGCTACTCGCTTCTACCCATCCTTCATGTATCTCCAAGTCATTCCTGGACATCTTCCCCCGATACTCCAGTCCTCAGTTCTGTCAACCTTTTCCGGTAGAACTATTTGTTGTTCTACTCTCCTAGCACTTGTGTGACTGGTGTTATAGTGTAGCTATTTAAGTGGCTATATCTCATCTAAGTATATTGCAAGTATGGCTCTTAATATTACCTGAAGAGCCTAGTACAGAACTCCATACATATGTTATTCATGAAAATTAAGAGCTATTTTTTAATCCTCACCCAAGGACATGATTTTATTGATTTTAGAGAGAGAAGAAAGGAGAGGGGGAGGTAAACATTGATCTTTTGCTTCCTGCACGTGCCCCAACTGAGATGGAACCCACATTCTGGGTATGTGCCCTGGCCTGGAATAGAACCTGTGACCTTTTGGTGTTTGGGATGACACTCCAATCAACTGAGCCAAACTGGCCAGGGCAAGAGCTACTTTTTTGTATTTCTAAGAAGGTACTTAATCTGAGGTTACATGAAAGCTGTTGACTTACACACAGGTGAATTAAACAGAGTTTACCTTGGCATTGCTGAACTTCCCAGAGTTTAGCTTTGGAAGGGCAGACATAGGGAAGCAGTGCTTGACTTGAGCTGAATCTTGGCCTCTCGGGTGTTTAAAGCTTGCTCTGTCTCCTGTGAGTTTGTTTGTTTTTGTGGGTGCTTCATCATCACTGAGGATCTGCCAACTGCAATTCCTGGGGAAAGGTCAAACCCACCTCCCAGTCTGGTTGATAGCTTCCCTGTTCCTATCTCCTAGATTTCTGGTGACTCCCAGAGCTTGTTTTAACTGAGGCCTTCCTTGCACCTCAGGTGGTCCTTTTCGGATAGACTTGACGAGGACTCCACCTGGGTGTCTTTTCAATGCAGTCTAGTTCTAGTCCATGGAAGATACTTATCCTTTGTTCTGAATAATGTGAGGAATACAGACCAATCTTACAGTGCAGATATCTGTCTTTTGCTGTCATCATCAGAGCTGCTGAAAGAAGACATACGAGGCTTTCTCACAACCCTTTTCTCATCTGCATTATCTGGGGCTAGAGGTAGTATTCACCGGATATCAAAAGCGTTATAAAACACTTCCCCAAGTATTATGCTTAAAAAGTTAATTTAACTGGTTCTGAGCCACCTATTTTTCAAGTATGGAGTATTACTTGACATTGAAAGTAACAAGAAACTGCTGTTCTAATCCCCAAATTTTATTAACCACTGGCACTTATGTAGAATATTTCACCCCTTTAAGGTTGTGTTTCCTTTTCTTTAGAATGGGCATGATGATAATACTGCCTCGAAGAGTTCATGTGAGGAGTAAATGATATAACATACTAGTATATGAAATGATTAACACAGTGGCGAAGGATTAACAAATCCTTTCTCTTCATTTTGTTAAGGAAATGAAACACACCTCAGTAGTATGATTTAATGACTTAGTTCTATCTCAGGAGAGGCGTATCTCAATCTGAATTGTTAATTAAATTAAACTCTAGCTCATTCTCTTTCACCTTTCTGTCTCACCATTCAAGATTGCAGGATACCTCCTGGTATTGCCCATGGATCCCATCATGACATAAGTTCATTTTTATCCTTTACGACTGTGGTGCACTATGAATGTGACGAAGGATATGTTCTGGTTGGAGACCCCCAAATCACCTGCAGAAGTTCACAATGGTCATCTCCAGCCCCTCAGTGTAAAGGTAATTTCAACTTTACTGATGGCTCTTGTTAAGGTAGAACCACCGTGAAACCTAGAGTCTCCTCCCAGCCAGAGGCAGCACTTAGAAATTTGTATTCTGTTTATTTATTCACTTCATGTAGTTAATATTAATGCATGCATATAGTACAATATTTTAAAAGTGTGAACCAAGACGTCTGTTTTCAGAGGTACATTTTCTATAAGGCCACCTTTTTGCTTTGTTTTAATAAAAGTTTTAATTTAAATATAACATGCTATAGAATTGTGCACAAATCTTAGGTATATAGGGCAACCAGTATCATAAAGTGAGCCTGAACCAACCGATGAAACTATAACTCAGGTCAAGAAGCACTACCGTTGCCAACACTCAGAAGTGTTCCACATGTCCTCTCCCATTCGCTACCCACAGAAGGTCACTAGTCTAACAGCATGGGTTAATTTTTGCCAACTTTTAAACTTGATATAAAGAAAATCATGCACAAGACACTTGGGGGTAGGGGAGGCCAGGGGAAGGTCAAGGGGAGAAAAAAAAGGAGACATATGTAATACTCTTTGTAATACTTTAAGCAATAAAACAAAATTAAAAAATAAAATAAAATAAGAAAATCATGCATGTACTCTATTGTGCCTGGCTTCTTTCCTCACCATTATGTTTTGGAAACATATGTAATACTCTTTGTAATACTTTAAGCAATAAAACAAAATTAAAAAATAAAATAAGAAAATCATGCATGTACTCTATTGTGCCTGGCTTCTTTCCTCACCATTATGTTTTGGAAAATCACCTATGTTCTTACTTGTAATGAGAGCTATTCATTTTCATTGCTGTATAATATTCTTTTGGATGAATATACCCCATTTTATGTATCTTATACAAGTTTGAATTTTTTATGTTTTAGGCTACTATGAATAATGCTCTTATGAACATTCTTGTGCATGTCTCTTGGTACGAATGTGCCAACATTTCTGTTGGGAATAAATTTAGGAGTAGAATTACTGTTTCATAGAGTATGCACATATTCATTTTTAGTAGGTGATACTGACTTTTGTTCAGAGATGGTTGCAATGATTTACATTTCCACCAGTAGTGTATATGTGTTCTAGTTTTGATAAACAGAAGTTCTACATTCCAATTTGGCTCAATTTATCAATCTTTTTCTTGATGTTAGAGCTTTTTGTGTCTTGTTTAATAAATATTTGCCTACAACAGGGTCACAGAAATATAGTCTCCTATTGTTTTATCTTTCACATTGATACCCCCAACCCACCTGGAATTTCTATGGGCTTATGGTGGAAATTAAAAGTCGAAGTTTGTTTTTCCCCAATGAATAATCCATGAACCCTGCACCACTTATTAAATGGACCATAGTTTCCACACTGCTCTGCAGTGCTGCATGTATGCTTTGGTTTCTGCTACCATATTCTAACAGCGAAGCTGACCTCATAGGAGGTTCCTGGTTGACCACAAAGGTTAGGTGTGCCTTTAAAAAAACACCACACTATAAAAAACAACTCAAGGGACTAATGTCTCTCCATTATTTCCATTTAGTGCAAAGAGATATTAAGAATATGCAACTTAAAATTATAGTCTTAGGATCATGTGAAAAGTAAGGTTTTGAGATATAGTTGCTTTGAAAACTCAGATTCTAGGACCACAATACCTAGGTTTATATCATAATCATGCTACCGAAAAGCTATGTAACCTTCAAGTCACATAAACTATCTGCACCTAATTTTCCTCTCTAGCAAAATGGAGATAATAATAATGTTTTATGTTGATAGTAGAATGTAAGTTACTTTTATTGTTACAATAATGCAATAAATAGAGTTTAAAACAACTCACATCATGCAGGTTAAATTAATTATCAGTGTTACTCACCCCTCAGTATTCTCTACTATTGTAAGATCTTATTCTGAGAATCACAAGACGATCAAAATTGTGTTTCCATGAACAACAGCTCTGTGTCTGAAACCAGAGGTAGAAAATGGGAAGCTGTCTGAGGATAAAGATCTGTTTATTGAGTCTGAAAATGTCACCATCCAGTGTGACTCTGGCTACGGTGTGGTCAACTCTCAGAACATCACCTGCTCTACAAACAGAACCTGGTACCCAGAGGTGCCCAAGTGTGAGTGGGTAAGTGGAACACAGATCAGGGAGCTTTATCACATTCTCCAGAGCATTGTCCCAGCCAACACTGATGAGCTCTGACTTTTTCTCAGAACATCACCTGCTCTACAAACAGAACCTGGTACCCAGAGGTGCCCAAGTGTGAGTGGGTAAGTGGCACACATGTCAGGGAGCTTTTCACATTCTCCAGAGCATTGTCCCAACCAACACTGATGAGCTCTGACTTTCGTCAGGAATCGTTTCTGAGTTGTTTAAATCACTTTTGGAATCAGCAATTTCACCCTCAAAGCCCTTGGTGAGCTCATTAAGGCAAGTTCTAACTCTCTCAAGTTCTAATTCTCTCATTTAATAGCAAGAAAACCTAGGCCCCTAGATAGGAGGGCAGGGTTCCAAAGACCCAGGTAACCTGGGACCAGCCCTGTATTTTCTACCATAAGTGCTATGCTTGTGCATCGCCATCAACACCATCCCTTCGGTGGTCCCCGAAGAGGTGCCCTGGGTGTCTTCGGCAGCACTGTTCCTCCCCTGCTACATTGGTCTGGAATCATTCCCTGATGTTTCTCTGATTTACGCCCTCATATCTTGGATTTCTTCCATCCATCCTGCGGAGGGTCCTGATACTCCACTTTTGTTGTCATCAGTGAGGCATCCTGAAGGAATCTTCTACTTTCAACAGTTTGGAGAGAAATTCTCTCAAAATCCATCCTTTTATCTCTTTTAGGAAGTCCATAATGGCTGTGAGCAAGTGGTAGAAGGCAGCAAACTCATGCAGTGTCTCCCAAGCCCCATGGACGTGAAAATGGCCCTGGAGGTGTACAAACTGTCTCTGGAGATTAAACGACTCAAGCAAGAGTAAGACTTGAAGAGGAACACCCGTTAGAAATCAGTAAAACATAAACCGATGAACAAAAACAGATCTAGAGTCAGGAAGCATCGATCAGACCCTCAAATCTCAGAGGGAAGGTAGGGGAGGGTGTGGGTAAAGGAGAGATCAACCAAAGGACTTGTATGCATGCATGTAAGCATAAGCGATGGACGCAGACAACAGGGGGTGAGGGTGAGGGCAGGACTGGGGGGATGAGGGGACATTGGGGGGATAAAGACACATTTGTAATACCTTAATCAATAAAAATAAAAAATAAAAAGAAATCAGTACATCACTTTCCCCTCACTCATCACCCCCCAGTAAAGCATTAGGTACATTTCTCTTATTAGCAAGTCTACTGTACCTTAAGTACTATTATTTACTGGGGGGAAAAACAAACATCTGTTTTAGAAGAATCTTAGTGACACTGATAATGTGGAACTATTGATCATTTGTATATTAGCTCATATTAAGCTCTGTTTTCCTGGATTTGGTGGAAAGGCAGAAATAAATAATTTCCTGGATTTGGTGGAAAGGCAGAAATAAATAATCACCTGTCAAAAATTCAGTGTCTTTGTTTCCACTTTAATTCCTGTGTAATGCAAAACTAGGGTCCTCTATGAATCATTCTCTGATGTTTCTCTGATTTATGCCCTCTTCCCTCTTACCATATTTCAGGGTACATGTGGTCCTCAAAAATACATGTTTGTGCCTTGTCTGAAGTGTCTTTACCCTGCATCTTCACTTCCCACTCATCCTTCAATGCCCAGGTCAAATATCACATCTTCCTCCACGTCTTCTCCTTTCTCTCCCTATTTGCTCACCAGTATTTCTCTGGAACAACTTCTCACTTCCTCTTTATATTTTTAGCTTCACTTGGTTTTGCACAACTTTCCTTCCATTCAAGAATAACTAGCTTGAAAGTCTTTGAAGGCCTGATCTACTTTCAGGGTACATGTGGTCCTCAAAAATACATGTTTGTGCCTTGTCTGAGGTGTCTTTACCCTGCATCTTCACTTCCCACTCATCCTTCAATGCCCAGGTCAAATATCACATCTTCCTCCACGTCTTCTCCTTTCTCTCCCTATTTGATCACCAGTATTTCTCTGGAACAACTCACTTCCGCTTTGTATTTTTAGGTTCACTTGGTTTTACACAACTTTCCTTCCACTCAATAATAACTAGCTTGAAAATCTTTGAAGGCCTGATCTATGTGCAACCCAAACATTCCTGTTGGGCATGCCCAAGTCTTCCAATTGCATCTAACCACTTTGGAAATATGTCTATTAAAATGGCTTTAGTGTCTCTTTTTAAATCCAGAAGCAGACACTGAGAAGAGGATTCGTGTACAAGCAATTTATTAAGAAATGGGAAAGGAGGTAGGGAGAACGGGGAAGGCCAGAGAAGGAGCCTAGCAAAGTGATCAGGCAGAGAATGGCTTAGCCTTGTCCCAAAGGGAACCCTCAACTATGAATTTGCTTGAGCTCTGTCACAATTCCAGGCAAAGAAACTGGGCTTTCATTCCACTGTACCTGTCAGTTATTGGTAAATGGCCACTCTGGAGGCCCAGAAGCCCCCAGGACACCCCGCTCTCTCTATGTGGGGACAGAGCTGTCCAGCAGCCAAGAGAGTAGAAGGCATGGCCTTTAGAAACCGAAGCACAGAGAAGCCGGCAGAGGAGGGCACAGAAATGGTAAAAGGGACGTGAGGGCCTGGGCGGCGCTGACTTCATGAGTCCCTCTTATATCTCTGGATATTCTTGGGCGCCTTATATTTCCAACAGTCACCATTTCTTCCAGTTTTTTGACTCCTTTGAAATCTCATTCTCACTCATGCTTCTTACTCTGGCTACCTCCGGTTCGCCACCGCCTCTTGATTAATAATGGAGAACATCGCCTCTTTCCTTGATTTCTGCAAAATAACACTTATACAAGAAAGCTGTGTAACCCCGGCAGTGTGGCTCAATGGTTGAGCGTGGACCTAGGAACCAAGAGGTCAGGGTTAGATTCCTGGTCAGGGTACATGTCCATGGTTGAGCGTGGACCTAGGAACCAAGAGGTCAGGGTACATGTCCGGGTTGCTGGCTTGATCCCCACTAGGGGGCGTGCAGGAGGCAGCTGATGGATGATTTTTCTCTCTCATTGTTTTGTCTGTTTCTCTCCTTTCCTTTCTTTCTAAAAATCAATAAAAACATTAAAAAAAAGAGAAAGCTGCATAGCTGACTTTTACTAAAGCTTAGAGTTAACAGAGGGGTATGAGGCTGGCTACAACACTGGACTTCCAGAATGCATGTGACATAACTAATCAGGAAAGACCATTGCCTTCCGCTGCCATCAGGAATATTATCTGGCTGACTTTCTCTGCATGACCCTGCCAGCCTCCGGGCTGGTCTGATCTGCCACTTTCCCCCCTCATATCTCTCCTTGACACACGTGATCCATTCTTGCTCCCACTATCCCAGGAAGCCATTTCCCTTTATTAGGGAAAGGATTTTAGCTCTCGGTCTTTCCCTAGTCTCAGGGATTTATATCCAAAAACTTATGAATATACTCAAATAAACAAAGGAGCGTCCATTAGGTTTGAGCACCACGCTGTGGAGATCTGGAGGAATCTCTGAAATATGAGTCTTCCTGTATTTCCTCACCCTCAAGTCTCTGTGGGGGGCAGTGTGGAGACATTTTCACACAGATGTGAATTACGTCACTTTTTTTTCCTAAATTAATTTCACATAATTACAATGATAAAACTAACGTGTATGTGCAAGCAATAATTCAAAGAGGGTGGTAAAAAATAAAAATAAAATTCCTCTCTTTTTGTGCCTCAGTCCTACAGTTCCTGCTGATTAGCTTAGCCCCTCTGAAAAGGATACACATACTATATCATTTGACTTTTTATCTCTAAGCCATGTATTTAAATTTCTTGCTATAAAATTATCACTCTAGCTCCTGCCCTGCCCTCTCCCCACTCTCTCTCTCTATTGGTCAGTCTCATTTATTTATTTTTCTTTTATTGCTTACTTATTTTCATGGCTTTAAGTAATATATTTAAACCTGTACTATTTATGCAACTTTATTTTTGACAATTTACTATTTTATTAAAGCAATACATAAAATAATTTAAAAATAGAATAATCCAAGAAGACTTACAATGAAAACTCTAGTGTTCCAACTCATTTAATCTTATCCTTTGGTTTTATTTTCCCCCCCCCTTT